ATTTTTCCGGACCATCCTCTCCGCCCTACTCTACCCCTGCCCCTGCCCTGCTCAAGCCTTCTGTGCTCGCCACGGTCCGCAGTGGAGGTCCACAATCCCTCACCCAGATCCTTGGAGGCACACGTGTTAGGATTTGTCAGATTTTAGAGAAGTGCTGGAGAACACCCCAGGGGGTCGGGGGCACAGCCCCATGGGTCAGGCCCGTCCACAGCTCCATGCTAAGTAGCATGCCACACTTGCTGGGATGCACACAGCCCCATGAACAGCCTCCCTCCAGTTCAGGACGCTGATGCAGCCAGATGGGCTTGCACCAAACCTAGGAAAGCACTTCCGGCTTCCAGAGCCGTCTGGATTCCTGACCTACAGATAAGGGGCCTGTGGACCTGGATGGAGCCAGCTCCTTTCTGAGCCGACCACCCCCTCCAGTCTCTCTTTTCCCCCCACAGACTGTCTCTCAGATATGACCTCAGGTGCAACCTACGTCTGAACCTTTGCTGGCCTCAACTCTGCTGGTCATTTAAGGCCCAGTCCAGCCCCCAGCTCCTCCAGGAAGCATTCTGGGCTGACACCCCAGCCCACAAGCAGCACTCCCACCCACAGCCCCTCCTGCCTTCGGTGATCCATCAACCAGACTGTACGTCCTTGGAGCAGGGACTGGGTCCTATCTGTTGCCCTCTCCCAGCCTGGTCCAGCACCCCCGAGGGCACCAGGTCCGCCCTCTGATGGGCTGCCAGTCGCTGTGGTTACCTGTGGGCCTGGTCCCCAGACAAGCAGGCCCCATGGCACCAGCTGCAGGCCCCAGACTGGTTACAAGCTTCGGATGAGGGCAGCAGGCGGCAAGGGTCAGGGGGCAGGGTCAGGGCCAGCAAGCGGCCCAGGGCCACGCCCCCGAAGCCCCCAGAGATGTAAAGGCGGCTGCCCACTGCTGCCACAGCATGGGCCACGGATTCCTCCATCGGGGGCCCCACGGAGGCCAGGCCTGGGGGAAAGGACGGGTGTTCAGAGACAGAGCAGCAGACAAAAGGGAGGTACACACACAAAATGACAACAGGGACACCGAGAGAGGAGAAAAACAGAGTCCAAGGAGAACAGGGGCAGACGCAGACAGACAGACAGAAGACTGATGGAGACAGGCAGAGCATGAGACTCAAAGACTCCAAGAAAAAAGAGGGAGAAAAAAGGTAGAGGAAAATCGAGAAAAAAGTGGGACAAAGAGACACAGTAACGAAAAAGACAAACTTAGAGAAAAAGGGAATTAGAGGCCAAGGGTCACAGAGAGAAGGAAAAGGAAAAAGAGACGGGCCCGGTAACATGCAGTCAGTCACTCACAATGTTAAGTGAAATAAAGAAGGGATGTAAATACAAACCTACTTTTAATCTCCGAACAGAAAAGACTGGAAGGAAACACCCCCACAGATAATACGGTTGTCTCTAGAGAGTAGGGTTATGGGTGATTTCTTTGTCCCTATTTTACAAATTATATACAATCAATATTATTTCTTTTATAATGGGAATAAAAAAATAAACTTTCTTAACCAAATTAAAAAGAAAAAAGGAAGGAAGAAGTCTCCAGAGGTGTTTAGATAACATGGAAGGAATGGAAGGACTTGGAGAGAACAGCGACTTTGCTGGTGGGTCTGAGGAGGCCTAAGTGACTCCTAGGGAAAGAAGTTCCCAGGACGGGGCTGGGGCTCCTCCTGGGTGTCCCCAGACCTCCTGGGGACAGTGACGAGAACTCACGGGTGAGGTCCGGCAGGATCCAGGCATTGCAGTTGACCTGGTAGAGCAGAACATCACTGCTGAACTCGTCAGGGTCTGAGCGCCCCCCCAGGACCACCATGGTGTCCCCTAGCAGGGCTGAAGCGTGGAAAAGTCGCGGGCGGGGCTGTTGGGGAGACACGTGCCAGGATGCTCTGTCAGAGCCCACAGTTCTCTGCTCCTCATGCTCCCTCTTGGCCCACCAGCCACACCCTTGGATCTCCCTAACTCTCTCCACCAGCCCACCCAGTCCAAGCCTTCCTCAAATCTTGCCTCCTCCAGGAAGCCTCCTTTATCCCCCAGAAGAGCCCTCAGAGCTGTCTCCTTTCCCCAGAGCCCCGGAGCTGCTCCCTGGGCACTCAGCACGGGCTGCTTGAGGCAAACCGTCCACAGGGCTCATGTGAGTCCCATCTTGCCAGCTGGGCTGGGGCGCCCTGGTAATCTGATTTCCACCTCCCTCTCGGTCCAGCCAAGAGGGGCTTGAAAATGTATTTGTGGACTGAAAATGCAACGTCTCTAGCCAGCACATATGGCATACCCTGGTTGTTCGTGCATCGTCCTGCCTTTGGCCTTGTGAGGCAAGAAGTACAACGGGGCTTAGACCTACTTCTTATAGATGGGGAGGCCCAGAAAGGAGGCAAAACGTGCCAGGACTCACTGAGAGTGGGGGCAGAGCTGGGGCTAGAACCCATGCCTCTGACCTCCTGGTCTGGGAGGCTTCCTTCCAAGTCAGGGATAGAAGAAGGGGAGTGTGGGGGTGTCACAGTTCAGTTTAAGAGACTGGAAAGTAGAAGTAGTAGGAATCCAGGATTGAGCCAGTCCCTGGGGTACTGGGAAAGGACCCCTTGCCCCCTACATCCATCTGTCCAGACTTCTTTTCCTGACCTTTGCCCCCTGAGAAGGGGCCAGCAGGCTCCAGGTGCGGTCAGGGCAGTGCAAGGAGTAGAGCTCCGGGGACGGGGCGGCCAGCTCCACATGGAAGCGGAAGCCTCCGAACACATACAAGGAGTCCGTGACCTCATGGTAGACGGCCGAATGACCATAGAGACCTGGAAGCAGAGGGACCCAGAGATGGGGGAGGGCCAACGACCAGGAATGTCTCCACCTACCCTGACCTCCCCAGGTTCCCCTTCTCGGTGCCACACCACCACCCTGCCAGGCCAGAGACCTGGGCGTCCTCAAGTCCTCCCTCTCTCCTTACTTCAAAGGCAATCACCAGAGATTCTGGGAAAAGGAGAGGAATCAATTGTTGGGAAGTTACAACAGACTTAGAAAGGAGACAGGGTGAACGGAATGTCCCAAGAGTCAGTGATTCAAGAGTGTAGAAGGAGCAACAGACAAAGTAGAACACCTGAGAGGTCGTGATTTTAAAACCTAGGGGAGGCAGCCAATGCCTGCACTGTTACCAGGGCAGGAGGTGGGCAGTTTACCACAGAGTCTGGGAGGGGTAAACAGAGAAACCAAATGTCTCAAGAGGTGGTGCCCTGAGAATCTGGGAGGGGGCTGGGGGAGACAGAGACAACAAGGAGTATGGGCAGTGATCACCGAGTATAGGAGTGGCTGGAGAGCCTACGTGAAGCCCTGGTGGACCAGGAGGTTAAAGAAGCTGTGCCCTCCCTGGCCCCAGCCCACCTGTGGGGGGTGTTCCGCTCTGGACTCCGGACACCCAGGTGCCGGTCGCCAGCTGGTACTCGAGCAGCTGCTGGTTGAAGCCATTTTCGGGGGAGTAACCGCCCACCAGAAGCAGAGACAGACCGCGGCGGGCAGTAAGGGTGTGACCTGCCACTGCTGGCAGCTCCACGGTCTGAGGAGCCTGAGGGAAAGGGCGGAGGTCACCAGGGGGCCAGAGGTCAGGGGTCAACTTGTGGGTAGAAGTGAGACCCAAAGCTCCCCACGCTCCCCTCTGCTACGGTGGTAGTGAGCTCCTCGGAACGTCAGATCCCAAGACCTCTGACCAGCTATGGTCCTGGCAGGTGTGTGGCAGATACCTGCTTATTTCCGCCTGCTCTTCAGGTCAGAGAGCCTGAGGTTTCTCCGGGAAGCCCTCACTCCTCACTCTCACCTCAGGTGGCTGTGTGAGGCTGGTTACACCCTGCTCCAGGCTGTGTCTAGGCCTGGCCAACCAGAGCACCACATTCCTCTGGCCAGGGGCTGGTTCACGACTACAACACGACCCAGGATGGACCAATGAAATTCACTGCTGGTGACTCTGCTAGAGCCCTGGGAGGAGGCTTTGTCCTCCTGCGGCCAAGCTGGCAGGAGCCCCCATGGCCACATCTGCCAGAGCCCGGCTGTGGGGGTGAGAGCGAGGGCGATGCTCACCCTCTCCTGCCGCCACTGCAAGGTAGTGAGGTTGAGGACCCAGAAGTCGCGGGTGATGCCCCCGGCCGTGAGCCCCCCCAGCAGGTACATAGCGCCACGGCCAGCAGGAACATAGGCGGCTGCATGGAAGGACCGGGGGGAGGGGCCCGGGCCCCCGTCCTCGGCTCCCGCCAGCATCTGTGTCCACCGCCGCTCACTCACCGAGTACCTGGGACCAAAACGCAGGGAATGACCTCAAAAACAGCCTCATTGTACAGACATCCCAGCATCCCCTAGGGTGACTCTCCCTCACAGGTTTCCAGCATCCTCTGGGGTGACTCCCTCCACACACTAGTATCCCTGTATCCCTTTGAGGTGGCCTTCCTGTAACAGTCATTTTGGCATTCCCTGGGGCCACACCACCCAATTAAGTACCCCAGTCCCTGGGGTTAGCCTCCTGTGAAAAGCGTCGTAGCATCCTTTAGGGTATCCCTCACCTGGAGAGGGTTTCCTGTACCCTGAGATGACCTTTGTGTGACAGATATTTCAGCATCCCCTGAGGTAACCTTCTCTCATTCAGGTATCCCAATTCCCCAGGGCAATCCTCACCTGTACAGGTTCCCCAGCAGCCCCTGGGGCAGGCCCAGGCCCCCAAACATCCACAGGGTGGCATCCGGTCCCTCCACCATGGTGTGCCCTAAGCGGTGCAGGAAGCGGCTAGCAGTGTCCTGGGGAGCAGGGAGGTCAAGTGTCAGGCCAATGTCATGAAAAAATGTTGGGCCTGCATACAGGGTCTGGGGGGTGGTCCCAGGAGCAGAGGTGGGAGAATGATCCAGGAGGCGGACTGCGTGGTGCGTCCCCAGAGAGTGGGTATCCACAACTCACGGCTGAGAGGCGGCTGTCCATGAGGGTCTCCCAGACGAGCTGCCCACCGTCCAGCTTTGTGGCACAGTCGGGGCCCCCAAAGCCCTCGGCACAGATGCACACGCCCAGGCTCTGGGGACAGCAGAGGGAGACTCAGGGGAGCCCTGATCAGATCACCACCCTGTCCCACCTGGCTGCCCCATCCCACTATACCTGGTTGCAAGTCCCTGCCCCGTTGTGGGCATTGCAGTTCTCAGGACACAGAGCCATGCGGCAGTGTGGGCCAGCCCAGCCCTGGGGGCATCGGCAGAGCCCGGCACCCGCAGCCCCATCCTGGGGCACGCACTCCTGAGGGACAGGGCAGCTCCCAGGGCCCCCAGACCCACAGCGGGCAGAGCCCACGGAGGCGTTGAAGCCCCAGGACGAGGAGCCGTTGGCCTCCCAGTGCAGCACGAGCAGCCCTGTTGGGGAGAGGCTGGAGTGAAGCCCCGTTCCGGGCACTGCTCCACTCCAGGTTTCCAGAAAAGCCAGTGTAACTGGGCAGGGAAGCAAGATACTCTGATCATTATAATCACTTCGAGGCTTATCAGTTCTCCCTCAGGCCCCTTCCCTTGTCCAACTCAACAAGTTCCCTCAATTTTATAGCCTAAATCTTCCCCATCCATCCACTACTTGCCACTTCCTCTGCTGCCATACAAGCCAGCCTCCCGTCTCATCTAGACACCTGCGTGTCTCCCCGCTGGTCTTCCTAGCCCCCCTACACTCCATTCCACACGGCAGCCGGAGTGATCCTGTGAAACAGAAATCTGGTCCTGTCACTGCCAAGCTCCTAACCCTTCCACAGCTCCCCACTGTTCTCTTACATAAAACTGAGCCCTCTGCCTAGGGATGGGGCAGGGGGAAGGGATTAATTGTATGATATCTAAACTATGGGGGCAGTGACGGTTCGGCGGTAGAATTCTTGCCTTCCATGCGTGTTGCTATGATGTTAAACAGATTTCAGCTGAGCTTCCAGACCAAGACAGACTAGGAAGAAAGGCCTGGCAACCTGCTTCCGAAAATCAGCCAATGAAAACCTTATGTATCACAATGGTCTGATTCATAAGCGATCATGGGGTTGGCACAGGACCGAGCAGCATTTCATTCCATCGTGCATGAGATTTGTATGAGTCGGGGCCGACTTGATGACAGCTAATAACAACATCGTGTAAACTATCCCTCGATACAGCCATATTTTTAAAAAATGCCTCCTGAGGTCCCCAGGGCCCTGCAGATTCTCTGATTGCACCACTCCCCACTTCCCATGCCCCCTGCACTCCAGCTGCCTGCTTCTCCTCAGAGCTAAGTATCTGTTCTTTCCTCTGTCTGGAGCAGTCGCCGGTCCCCACCATGTCTCCTAAGGCCTCCAGTCAAATTCATCGCTGTTGTTAGGTGCCCTCGAGTCGGCTCTGACTCAGCGACCCCATGTACTACAGAACAAAACACTGCCCGGTCCTGTGCCATCCTCACAACTGTTATGCTTGAGGCCATTGTTGCAGCCACTGTGTCAGTCCATCTCATTGAGGGTCCTCCTCTTTTTTGCTGATCCTCTACTTTACCAAGCATGACGTCCTTCTCCTGTCAAATTGCAGTCTGCAAAGAAGCCCTCCCCAGCTCCACAGAGGAGGCCAGGTGCCGGCTCCTCCCTGCTTCCTCTCGGCCCTTAGCAAAGGTGTACACTTTTTTGCATACACAGTACTCTGTTCCATGCTGTTTTGCCACCCGACGGGACTGGGAGTCCACACAGGCAGGGCCTGTGTCCCTTGCTCACTGCTCTCTCCTCAGCAGCTCACTCAGGCCCAGCTCACCATAATGCTCAGTAAACATTTGCTGAGTGAAGCAAAATCGAGGGCACCCTACTCCTAGTTGCTCAGTGTGAGCGGGCCTGGGGGTTCCGTGCAATCCACCCCTTTCTCTCCCAGCTTTGGAGCCACTCTGATTCACAATACAAACAAAATCATTTCCAAACTCGGGCCCTTTAACTTCCACGGGTAGGAAATTATTTGTACCACATCTCCATAGACTAAGCAGAGTTTCTCAAGCTCTCAGCACTGCTGATGTTTCAGGCCCAATGATTCTTTGTTGTGGGGGGCTGTCCCAGGCATTGTGGGATGTTTAGCATCATCTCTGGCCTCCACCCACTGGATGCCAGTAGCACCCCAACCCCCAAAGATGACGATCAAAATGTCTCCAGACATTGCCAAATGTCCTGAGGGGCAAAATCACCCCTGGTTGAGAACCAGGGCCAAGGAGCTACTAAGGAGCTCTCACACCAGCCACAACCTATGTGCCCCAAAGGCATGATCTACTAGGCCCTTCTCTCCCAGTGGCAACCCAGTCAACACAATCCTCTCTATTTTCCTCTCAACTGAGGAAACTGAGGCCCAGAAGTGGCAAGGGACAGTGTCGCCCAGCAAGCCAGTGCCAGAGCTGGGCTGGAACCCGGGTCTTGGAACCCACCTCAGGGAAGGAATGTAAAGCCCCGGACAAAGAGGTCCCATGCCCCCGTACCAGACAGGGCCTGCACGGTGAGAGGCCTATCTCGCCGCTGGCCGCAGAAGGCGGCAATGAGGCTACGGTCTGACTGGACGACACCAGTGTCCAGGAAGCGAGGGAATCCATCAAAGGCTAGGACGTAGCTCAGCTGGAGGGGTAGAGAGTCAAAGATTAGGGGACCACGAGGATGAGAAAGAGGGATGCTTGGGATTTGGGAGGAGGAGGAGTTCAGGAGGAGAGGGCAATCTGGGTCTGGAAAATGAGTTATTTGAGGGTTCAGGGAAGGGCTGTCAAATTGTGGCACGCAGGCCACCATTCCTCATCCTGTATTCAGAGCAGACACGGCTAAACGATCAGGACTCTCGCAGTGAGCCTTGTTCTCAACACACGGCTCCAGGCAGCCACCACCAATCAGTCAGAGTTGGTATGCAAGGTGAAAGCTATTCACAATGCCTGGTATGGGGAAGGGGAGCTGAGGACCTGGAGAATGGGGGACTGGAGTTCAGGAAATAGGAGGTGATCTGAGAAGTTCGAGAGTCTGTGGGCTTAAACAAAGGGCTGGGGGTATGGGGAATAGGGTTTGGGGTCTGGAGGATTAAAAACTGGGGGTATGGGGGTCAAGGTTTGTCTGGGGATCCAGACTGGGTTGGGGAGATGTGGTTTTGGTTCCTGGAGCTGAACCCTAGTCCTCAGTGCTTACCGTGCATGGGGTGCTACTGTCAGGGGAGAAGGTGAGGGTAAGTGGGGGACAGAGGGTCCCAGGGGCACATGGCTGGAGCACTTCGGTGGCTGACACAACCCACACGCAATATGACAGGCCTGGCCCAGCTCTTGTCGCCCCACCACCTGGAGGCAGCAGCCCTCCAACCCGGCGTGAGCCCAGTGCCACTGAGGACACGTTGGTGAGGAGGGCGCGACCCCCACACTCCCGGAAGCAGGAGCCACCGGCCCTGGGAAGACAGAGAAGAGCCAGCATCAGACAGTCCTGCCCCACTGTTCCGCGTCCCTAACCCTACCCTACCCAGCCCTGGCTGGTCGCCTAGCTCACCGGGGGTCCCCATAGTAGCCAGGGGAGCAGAGCTGGCAGTGCGCACCCTCGGTGTGGTCCTGGCAGAAGCAGAGCCCGCTGAGGTTGTCACAGTGACCCCGGCGCGGGTCCCCATGCCCGTTGCACTGGCAGGGCCGGCAGCCCCCTGAGCCTGTGGCGTTGCCGAAGCTGCCGGGCCGGCACCGTTCGCAGTGCTCCCCCCACGTCCAGTCTGTGGAGGCCCCAGAAGATGGTACGCAGAGTCAGGGACAAGGGGTCCAGACCAGCCAGCTCAGCTGATCCCAGACCCCCACTTAGCTGCTTCAAAGGGGGGAAGCCAGGGCCCAGACTGAGGAGAAGATCAAGTCCCAAGAGGGGGAACCGAGGCCCAGCCAGAGACAGGTGGCACTGAAACTCATTTGAGAGAAAGAGCAGGGAATAGGGCAGGGGGACCCAGAGCTGCACTAGGGGAGAATAAAGCCCACCCTGAGAGGGAGGAACTGGAGCCCCCAGAAGGGAGGAGGCTCCCGAGAGGCCCGTGGTGGAGGCTGGGCCAGGTGTGGGTGTCTGGGGTGAAGGGGTCCTCACCCTGGCACTCATCGCAGAAGCCAGGCCCCCGCTTATGGCAGTGGCTGTGGAAGTTGCAGCCACAGTCTCGGGAGCAACGGGGGGCGGGGGGTCCCGGGGCAGGTGTGGGTGGTGGCAGGTCGGATGTCCAGCCCAGGTCACATACGCAGGTGAAGTCGGGGGGGCCGCTGCACACACCGTGCCCACAGTCTTCCAGGCACCTGAGGGGCCAGGGCTGGGTTGGGGGAGGGGTCGGGCAGGCCCAGCACCCTCACCATCTCTACCACAAAACCATCACGAGCCTGTCTCCTCGGTCTGGGACTGTGTGGGTGGCCCTGTCGCCAAGGTAACCCCTCACACGTGGTAACTACTGTCTCTGTAGTAACCACATGTCACCACAGGTGCTCTTTTCTCTGTGAAAACCACTTCTCAACTTGGTTTTCCTCCACCTCCATGACAGTGCTGATGACTATAGCCCATATTCCATGGGTAACCCGTCTCCATGGTAACTAACTAGTGTTACGTTGGGGAGCTGGTCTCCATGGACACCTCGTCATTCTAAGGAGGGTCTAGTCTGCAAGGTAAATCACCAGGCAAACTGGGGATGCTGGTTCCACAGAAAGGAACCCAGCACCCCATGCTTCACCCCTCCCGCTCCAGGCCCCCAGCCCTGGGGCGGCAACCCCGTGGCAACCCCGCCCACTCACGTGCGGTTGCAGTGCGTGCTGCCGTCACCCTGGTAGCCTCGCTGGCAGTGGCACTCGTAGCTGAGGGGTGTGTTCAGGCAGGTCGCCCGCGGGTGGCACCGTGCCAGGCCCAGGCGACACTCGTCCACATCTGGGCAGTGGGCGTACGCCCAGCGGGCCGGGAGAGCCACGGGCAGCCCCAGGCCCTCCCCTACCCACAGGGAGCAGTTACCCCCACCCAGGGGCCCCGAGAAGTCCCCCTGCAGGCACCTGGGGGGTGGGAGATTGGAGATGAGAGGAGGGGGTGGGAAGAGGGACAGTAAAGAAGCAAGAGACAGAGACGGGGAGACAGTGAGGCAGAGAGGAGGCCAAAGAGAGCAAGAAACAGAGATGGGAATATGAGAGAGGGACAGAGAAGAGGAGAAATGGGAGAGAGACAAACACCAAGGGAAGTCACAGACAGACCACGGAGGGACAGAGAGAGGGACGCGAGGAGAGGAGAGGAGAGAAAGGAGCAGAAAGGCAAGCAGAGAAGCAACAAGTCACAGACACAGAAAGAGGAGACAAGGAGAAGGGAGACAAAGAAGAAGGCAAGAGGGGAGGGGGAACAACACAGAGAGACGGTGGTAAGGAAAACGGGGGACGGGCAAAGGACAGACAAACAAAGAGGCCGTTAGATTCTGAGTGGAAGCCGGCCGCCCCATGCCGCCCGCCCTAGCCCACCTGCCCCTGGCAGCCCCGCTCACCGGCCCAGGGTGGGGTTGTCCTCATTGCCGCACCAGCCACACTCGTGGCTCTGCAGGCACTCATGGCAGGTCAGGAAGCGGTCGCAGCTCCGGCACCGGGGCTCCGAGTGCACGCTGCAGGGGTACAGTGTAGAGGCAGTCAAAACCCGGCCCCCTCCCCCAGCCTGGACCCTCCTCCGGCCCCTGCCACACGGGCCCCACCTGTCGTCCCAGCCACGGCAGCCCCCGTGTGGGTACCGGGCCAGGTAGGCAGCAAACAGGAAGCAGGTGTGGGTGGACTGGCACCAAGCGCACTGGCTCGAGTTGGCCAGGCAGTCCTCGCAGGTCAGGCGCCTGGGGAATGGGGGTCGGGGGTCACTCGCAGTTCTCAGCCCACAGCCCCACATGCATCTGCTCCCCAGGCCCCACTGGGCTCACTGGCTGCACAGCGGAGGACACTCCTCCGGGCTCTTCAGGGCACCCCGGCCCCGGCCCCGCCGGCTGCACGCCGCATCCCCTTTGCGGCTGGTGCTCTGATGCCACTCACAGAAGGGGTCCTGAGGGGGGGGAGTCAGTGTCACCCCACAGACCACCCCCTCTAAGCCCACCTCCCTCACAAACTGCCGGCCACGCTGGATGTTCCCCTCCAGCCAAGGACACCGGTGGTTTGTGCCTGCCCAGCACTCATCCCTTCTTTTGGCAATGGCGCCTCTTCTGTGTGGTCCGGGTGGGGCTGATTAAATCCTTGGGATCCACAGATGGGCAAGGGGTCACCACCCACCCACAACCTCAGTGACTGATCCAGGAGTCTGCACAAGACCCAACCAGAGCCAATGAAACATGACTCTGGGACTTCTGCCGAACAAGGGGTGGCAGGGGGAGACAGGGTGAGAAAAAGGTGCTCTCCTCCACTCGGGACTCAGTGGCTGAGTGGCAGGACGCAAGTCTGGCTCCTTTGCCACTCGCAAGGGATGATCTTCCCAGGGAGGACGCAGACGTGGTACAGCAGGAGACGGACGCCTGACAACATCATTTGAACCCCTGGAGCTGGCCAGGCCTAAAGACCTACTCTTGGGGCTCGCTGGTTGTTTGAGCCCGTCAAAAAGGGTTGAGTTGGGCTTTCTGCCCTTGGAGCCACGAAAGTCCTGGCTCCCAGGGGCCCATCTCTCCAGCCCCATCTCCCCCGCTCCCTTCCTGGCTCTTGCCCCCAGGAGCCCCTCAGCTGCCCACGCCAGCTTTGGGGGGCTCCTCCTTCTGTGCCTGCCCGCCCCACTGGCCTCTGTCCTGAGACCTCCCCTCTGGTTCGGCAGTCACCTGAGTGCAGGCATGGCAGTCGCGATGCTCCTCACAGAGTGGACAGAGGGTGGGCACCAGCACCAGCAGGGACCCGCCAGTTTCGTCGCCACAGTGGGCCCCGCCCTGGCGCAGGTGGCAGGTGGCACTGGACAGGCACCAGCCGCAGCCTTGGTCCGCCAAGCAGCCCAGGCAGGAGGAATAGGAGGTGCAGGCCGCCGAGCGGTAGGGCTCCAGGAAGAAGAAGGAGATCTCCTGGGGGGGGGGTCATATGAGGGTCAGGGGTCCACACTCCCAGTCAAGGGTCAGGAATCAGGGCTTAGGTTTGGGGTAGGGGTCAGAGTTTGGGGCTAAAGACTGAGGGTAGGGTTTGAAGACGAAATTGAGAACGCAGGCAAATAGAAAGTGGGATTTAGGGGATCAGCAGACGAAAGGGGATTAGGATTTGAGAGAATCTAGAGATGAGAGATCAAAGAACCGAGGGTAGGGGTCAGGGTCATCGGGGACAGGGCAGAAGGAATCAGAAGATGTGGACAGGATCAGAACATGTGGTCAGGGGTCAGAGGCTGGGATCTAGAAGGACAAAGGTGAGGTGTCTAGCATGCAGAGGTCAAAAGTCTAGGGGTTACAGGTCAGGGCCTAAGGAGTTAGGAGTTGGGGGCGTTGGGGTTCAGAGAGGCCAGGGTATCTGAGGCCAGGCCCTGGGGGTCAGAGGCCAGGGCCAGGGCACTCACACTGCCGCCTGGCACGCCAGTCCGGTCCCACAGCAGGGTGAGCTCGCTGTGCCCAGGGCCCGCGGAGCCGTTGAGCTGGCCCCGAATCTCCACTGCGTACTTGTGGCCCCGTCCAGGTAGAGGGAAGAGGCGGGCCGAGCCTGGGCGTTGCAGCCGCCTCATCTCCTTCTCCTGCTGAGCCACCCACCGCCCCACCTCCTCCTGGGAAGAAGAGAAGGGCCTCTGAGTCCGAGACCCCAAGAACCTCCAAGCACTCCCAAACCCGCCATGACCCACTTCCTCCTCAGGAGAAGGTGACTTGGTAATTTAGACCTTTTCCACCTTTTTCAAATTTCTCCTCAAATTCGGTCCACAATTTAAAACCCACTATTTTGGCTCCAGCACCCTTCCTCCTCCACTAGGGATATACCCTGAGCCTCTGACTTCCCAACTCTCCCCAAGAACCTTCAAATCGCCCCATCCCCCCACATTTACCATAAACACCCCCTTCAATGCCCCAGGTGCCCTCACCATGTTCTCGGTGTCAGGGCCGCGGGCCATCCGAGCTAGGACGTGGAGACGCTGGGCCCGGGCCCACACAGCCACGTCCTCGGCTCCCGGCCCACCAGGCCCCCCAGGCAGCAGTGGGTGGATGAAGCCACGGTAGACCAGAGACACGTCTGTCTCCGGGCTGGGTGTCAGGGTGATGGTCGTACTGCGGACAATGGAGACCTGCAGCAGCCAGGGATACAGGGGTGTGAGGACCTCTCTGGACCGCCCCCAGGGTCCCCATGCCCCTCCGACCACACCAGAGCCAGGAAAGACTGGTCAGCTCAACCTCCTTCCCTATTTTAACGAATAAGAGACTGAGTCCCAGGGGCACGGCCGCTCGGGGAGCAGAGTCAGAACTCAAAATTCAGACAGCACGATGGGGTCCCAGAGCCCAGCACTGCCTCAGCCCCGTTCCCCTCCTTCTCGTTAGAGCTCCAGGGTCTCTCACATTTACGGTTAGTCCTTAGCTATCAGAAGTGAAAGCCAGCACTGGGTTTTTAGAAATTACTTAGAAACCCAAACTACAGGTGTCAGTTGGGCCTCTCTCACTAATATAATGCAAGAAGGATGGCAGGGGCCCGATACAGGAAGAACAGGCAACGACAGATAAATTTATGGTAAACATACGGTAATCAGGCCCAGATACCTCCAGCTGGAGGGGCTAACCTGAGATTCAGTCTTGTGGATACAACAAGGAGTATATTTAACTAGACAAAGAAGTCAGCATTTTTAGGGCTGCAGGGTTTTGACCAGGCTGTTTCCCTCCTGCAGTGATCTTGCCAGAGAACATGGAACTTAGCAAAGCTAAAAGGCTTCAACAGTTCACTTCATTCAATTTCAGAAACTGTGAGGTAGTATTGAGCTGGAGACTAAGGAGGAAAGTCCAGTCTGCGTCAGGCGGACACGTTTAGGAAAGGATTTTCTTTTTTCACGCTGGTACTGCTATATTAGACAATAGAGGTCTCTCAAGCTGAACACCCAGAAGAGGAGGTGAGTTTCCCTTTGAGAGATAACCAACAAAATAAGATATGCATTCTTAGAGGAGACAGATATATCCCAAACCCAAGAGTTGAGGGGAGTCTAAGTTAGTGTATCTAAAATAAAGACTGTGTCCATCAGAAGCAGTGCTGGCACAAACAAGGGAGGGTTGGAAAAGTAAAATAAAAACAAAAACCGATTTCCCTCAAAAAAAAAAAAAAACCTCCAGGGCTTTTCAGTATCCTGCTCCCCAACACCCCACCTCCCACCTAAGCCCTTAGAAGTCTAGATCCACCATTCCAAATAACATGTACACTACATGCTTTACTGCACTAAGGGAAGACCAAACCCAAGTGTCACGGATTGAATTACGTCCCCCAAAAAATGTGTGTATCAACTTGGCTGGGGCATGATTCCTGGTATTGTGTGGTTGTCCTCCATTCTGCGATTGTAATTTTATGTTAAAGAGGATTAGGGTGGGATTGTATAACACCCTTACTAAGGTCACATCCCTGATCCAATGTAAAGGGAGTTTCCCTAGGGTGTGGCCTGCACCATCTTTTATCTTACAAGAGATAAAAGGAAAGGGAAGCAAGCAGAGAATGGGGGACCTCATTCCACCAAGAAAGCAGTGCCAGGAGGAGAGCACGTCCTTTGGACCCGGGTCTCTGCTTGGAGAAGCTGCTAGACCAGGGGAACATTGATGAGAAGGCCGACAAAGAGAGAAAGCCTTCCCCTGGGGAGCTGACGCCCTGAATGTGGACTTTTAGCCTACTTTACTGTGACGAAATAAACTTATCTTTGTTAAAACCATCCACTTGTGGTATTTGTTATAGCAGCGCTAGATGACCAAGAGACCAAGTGAGAGGCTGTTTAAACGACAGCACTATGGTGCTGTGAGTATGAACGGAATACTAGGCAGCTGTGAAAAAAAAAGAATGAGGAAGCACAGATGGGGGGAGATAGATGCCAGGCCACATGAAGATCACCAAGGAAACGAGGCGCAGAAACTGAACAGGCAAGGACCTTCCTCCGGAGCCAACAGAGAGAGAAAGCCTTCCCCTAGAGCCAGTGCCCTCAATTTGGACTTCTAGCATCCTAAATGGTGAGAAGATATATTTGTTTGCTAAAGCCAAAAAAAAGAATGAGGGTGAATCCAAAGCTCTGTGATGGGAAGTTCACAAGGACATGTTAAGTGAAAAAAAGGAAGTGGTGGTATGGTGTAGATAGTATACTAACTTTTGTGCAAGAAAAATAATGAAACATCATATTTACTTGCATTTGAATAGGAAGGCTGGAAGGATATAAAAGAAACCCAAGTGGATCTTCTGAGGAGAGCTAGGGTGATCTTGAGTTGGAAGGATGTGGAGGCCAGACAGTTCTGGGCCACCAAGGGGATGGGGCGTTGGGTAGATGGGAGAGACTTTTCACGCAACAGCTTTTTATTTCATTGTGATTTTTGAACCGTGTAGATTTCCTCCAAAACCGAAACCAAATCAGCTCCACTGCTGTTGAGTCGATTTTGACTCATGGTGACCCTAGGGGACAGAGCAGGACTGCCCCATAGGGTCTCTGAAGCTGTAATCTTTATGGGAGCAAACTGCCACAGCTTTCTCCCATGGAGAGGCTGGTAGTTTCAATCTGCCAGCCTTCGGTTAGCAGCCAAGCACTTTAACCACTACACCACCAGGGCTCCCGCAGATATACTACCCTTTTTAAAAATCAATACGGAGTCACTGTGGAAAAGAGTTTGGCAGTTCCTCAGTAAGTTAAACACAGAATTAGCATATGACCCAGCAATTCCACTCCCGGGTACATACACAAAAGAACGGAAAACAGGTATTCAAACAAAAATGTGTACACAATTGTTCACGGCAGCATTATTCACGATAGCCAAAAGGTGGAAACAACCCAAACGCCCATCAACTGATGAACAGAAAAACAAAACCTGGTGTGTCCATACAGTGGTATATTATTCGGCCATAAAGATAAGCATGAAGTACCGATACATGCTAGGACATGGATGAGCCTTGAAGACCTGGTGCTAAGTGAGAGAAGTCAGACACAAAGGCCACGTTTAATTCCATTTATATGAAATATTCAGAGTTCTTTGAAATATTCAATTCCAAAGAGAGAGAAAACAGATTAGTGGTTGCCAGGGGCTAGGGGAAGAGGGGAATACAGAGTGACTGCTTACTGGGTACGGGGTTTTCTTCTGGGGTGACAGATCGTGGTGATGGTTGTTCAAGACCGCGAATGTACTAAATGTCACAATGGTCAATTTTATGTTATATGCATTTTTTTTTGTTATGCGTATTTCACCACAGTTAAAAAAATTTTTCTTACTGGACTGGTTGAGACTGGAGGACTCCCAGATACTATTGCCCGGAGATACTCTTCAAACTTTAAACCCAACCCAACCCCTGAGGTCACCTTGCAGCTAAGTAACAAACTGGCTCAAAAAATAATGAATATCAGCCATAAGTACTGTGTCCTTTACAAAATCACCTATACGAACTGCTGTGTAAACCTTCACCGAAAACACAATAAAATACCATTTAAAAAAAAAAAAATCACCTATATGACACTAAACAGTCAACCATTACTTTAAAACAAAGATAAGACTGTAAGGGGGAAGGGAAGCTAGATTAATAGAAACAGAACAACCAGAACGGAAATAATGAGAACGTTCACGCATTGCAAAGAATATAACCAATGTCACTGAACAACTTGCGTAGAAACTGTCGAATGGGAACTTAAACTGCTGTGTAAACCTTCACCAAAAACACAGTAAAATATTATTAAAAAAAAAAAGCTAATGGCGTAAAAAAGGAAAATCTTAATCAGTATAAAGAAAATCAGACCCTCCAACATAAAGACTTACAGGGTAAACCCAAAAGTGATAGAAGAGCCATTTGAAAAACAAAACCTCTAGGCCCAGGCCCTTTATTGCTCCACCCGGGGCCTGGTTCCCTGGCTCCCTACCTTGTCAGGCTGGGAGGCGTTGGGTGGCTGCTGGAAGGTGAGCAGGTGCAGGCCAGGCAGGAAGCTCTGGGTGACGCAGGCCTCCAGGGACGTGACGAAGACAGGCACGGGCCCCCACCAGCCCACAGTGCCTGAGATCTGCTCCCCGCGGCAGCGGGCCTGCTCTGAGAAGGTGTTGGGTAGGTGGTCAGTGCCAGGTGCTGTGCTGCACCCCCCCAACCCTGCTGGACACTCACCGGGTCGTGGGAGGCAGCTCTCGTTGTGCACACACCACCCCAGGGTACCAGGCCCCCGGGGAGGCGCTGTGGAGCTGCTGAAGGCCAGGCATGCCTGGCAGTCACCCAGGAGGCGGCCCAGGCCCAGGCAGCTGGCGGCTGGACACTGCAGGGAAGGGGAGAGGACAGGGGTCACTACTCACCACAGCTCAAGGGGTCGGGGCGGGGCCGTGGACACAAGGGTCCTGGGGCAGAACTGGCCAGAAATTGAAAGATGAAGAACTGAAGGTGGGGCTAGAATGTGGGAGATCAAGAGGACAGGACTGGGGAGGTTCAGGGTCAGGGTCGTAAGTTCAAAAGGTCTCAGGGGGTCAGGGGTCAGGGGTGAGCAGGCAGAAATGAGGATCTTAGCTATGAAAATAAGTCTCTCAGTTTGGGGAAGGTCCTTCTCTACTTGGACAGGGTCTCTGTGCTAGAGGACAGAGTGTTTGGGGAAGTCACTCACAGCCCCTGAAGGGGTCCCAGGAGGGGGTGCAGCTTGGCAGGCCCCCTGACACCAACTGCATTCGGGGTCTCTGGAGCAGACACTGTGGTCCGTGTACATGGAGCAATAGTCCAGGTGGTACTGTAGGGAGACAGGGAATAGGAGAGGGGCTACTCAAACCTGGGCCTGCCTCTCCAGCCCCGCTCACTTTAATTTTCCCAGGGAACGCTGACTGCGCAGAGTCTTGAAGACCTGCCCTCCCCCAGCCCCAGGAACCACTATCCCTACCCTTTGGCCCCAGGTACCCTCTATCTCCTCTTCTTTCAGCTCCAGGGACCTCCAACCCTCCTCCCCTGGACCTGGGGACCTCCCTCCTTCCTCTCCTGGCCCCAGGGACCCTCTATCTCCTCTTCTCTCAGCTCCAGGGACATCCATCCCTCCTCCCTTGGACCTGGGGACCCCCTCCCAATTCTCCCCTCATTTGCAGGGACTATGCTGTCTCCTCCCCCAGCCACCCTCTCCCTATCACCCAGTGCTCACATCCGGGGCAGGTGCTTGGAACACAAAGGGGGGAACCTTGTAGGCCATCAAGTCTCCACGGGGCCGGCCACTGTAGCCCCCAGCCACCAACAGGACACTGCCACCAAGCACGGCTGCCACATGTGAATATCGGCCACTGGGAGGCGCTGCTCGGCCTAGGAGAATACAGACACCTAAGAACATCAGACCCCTAGGCTCCCACCACAATCTCCCCTGCTGGGGGCTGACCCTAACTCTCCTAACCCTCAACCCAGCCTGCCGGCTCCTGCTTCTACCCCACCTGCCTGAGGAAACCCTCCCAGGCCGCCTGGCCCTGCACTAGCTCTAGCTCTCCCCTCTTTGGGCTCCCACACCCCTGCCCAAATAATCGAGCAGAGTATAGTCTTTGGGGTCAGGAAGACTGGGCTTCACTATCTAAAATACAACCATTGGTCTCTACTCATCAGGAACAAAAGAATAAGAAGATAACCCAAATCTCAGAGAAGAAACAAGTCTATAGGATAGATAGCCTACATGAGCCACAACCTCAGCCACCCTGAGACCAGAAGATGTAGATGGTGCCCAGCTACCACCACTGACTGTTCTGACCAGGATCACAATTAATGGTCCTGGATAGAACTGGAGAAAAATGTAGAACAAGACTCAGACTCTGAAAAAAAAAAAAAGGCCAGATTAACTGGACCTGTTGAGACCAGAGGACTCCCTGAGACTATTATCCTGAGACACTCTTTAAACCTTGAACTGAAACTACCCCAAGGTCACCTTTTAGCGAAATAGCAAAGTGACTCACAAAATAAAGGATATTACCCGTCAGATCGGTGCTGTACAAAAAAACCATCTGTATGAGACCTACAGGTCAACATTTACTTTAAAGCAAAGAGGAGACGGTAAGGGGGCAGGGAAACTAGAGTACCGGAAATGGAACAAGCAGAACACAGTTAAAGAGAAGGTTGACATACTGGGGAAAATGTAACTAATATCACCGAATAATTTGTGTGGAAATTGTCAAATGGGAACCTAACTTGCTGTGTAAACTTTCACCAAAAACACAATAAAATATTATTTACAAAGAAAAAAAAAAGACAGACTTGGGTTCAAATCCTGGATCTACCACTTACTAGATGTACGGCCTTGGGCCAGCAACTCAACTTCTCTGAGCCTCAGTTCCTCCTCTATAAAGTGGGACCATCATCACACCCTTGTGGAGCTGTGAGGACTGGAGAAGCAGCTCTGAAGCCCCAGACAGGCTGCCTCGCTCTCACTTGTTTTTGTTTGGCTAGCACCAGCTTCCCTACTGGTGACTGGCCGATTTTCCTCTGGAAAACCACCCTCTTCCACTCCAAATCCACAAGGCTCAAGTCAAGTTTTCTCTGCCTCTTGCAGAAATGGAAGTTCAGCCAATCAGAGTCTCAGTGACTGGCTCAGGGATGAGTACGGGACCCATTTCTGGGCAATAAGAGTCCATCGTGAAACTTTCGTGACAATTCTTGGGAAAAAAGCACTCTCTTCCCCAAGAGCTGCTGGTGATCATGTACAAAAGGCAAACTACTAAAGACTGAAGTGAACTCAGCCAAGAGTTGGAGAGAGATATATGGCTGATGCCTTCAGGTGAGCACCTGGATCCAGCCCTGCCTGAAATCAGTGTCCTGGAGTTTTCACACGTGTGAGTCAAGAAACTCCTTTTTGCTTAAGCCAGTTGAGATGGGTTTCAGTCACTTACAACCAAGAGGGCTGACAGGTAAGTGGTCAGAGAACGATGATTTCCCCACCATCTTGTCGTTGTTCTCAGGTGCCGTCAAGTCGATTCCGACTCACAGCGACCCCATGTACAACAGAATGAAACACTGCCCGGTCCTACGCCATCCTCACAATCGTTGCTATGCTTGAGCCCATTGTTGGATTGTTGCAGTCACTGTGTCAACCCATCTTGTTGAGGGTCTTCCTCTTTTTTGCTGGCCCCTACCTTACCGAGCATCATGTCCTTCTCCAGGGACTGGTCCCTGCTGATAACATGTCCAAAGTACTCTCCACCCTCTTACTGACCATAGCCACTGTAAGGGCATGGGACTTCGCCCCGTGAATCACAGACTGGAAAGGAGGAAGACACCTCCAGAAACCTCACACTTTGGCCCCGTAAGGGGGCCTAGCAGAGGGACGGGGAGAGGATCCCTGGAACGGGGGCCTCAAAAGCCAGGCCTGGGCTTCATTCCTAACATCATACAGGGCTCCTTTGGGGCCCTTCCTCCTGCCTACTCCTTACGTGTTAACGTTCCTTTCTTAACACCTGTCCTCTGTCTCCTTTTCGGAGGGAGGGGAAGGGAAAGCCGCTCAGATGGGCCCCTGGGAAGTCCACGGCCCCCTGAAAGGGTATGTCCAGCTTCTGTGTACAAGTGTCTTTCTGGAAAGGGTCTGTGGCTCTCAACCAATTCTCAAAGCAGTCTCTGATCCAAAGAGTTAGGGTGATTTCTCCACGCCCCTTCCCTGGAGAGCACTCTGGCCCCGTGGCGGGACCCTCACTGCTATTAGGAAGGTAACACGCGAGCCTGGCTGTCCTTGAGCATCATCTCAATTTACTCTCATGGCAGCCCAACAGCTTAAGTGTTATTACAATCCTCATTTTATAGAGGGGGAGACTGACTGAGGCCCAAAGAGATTTGTTGCTGTCGTTAGGTGCTGTCGAGTCGGTCCCGACTCATAGCAAGCCTACACACAACGGGATGGAACACTGCCCAGTGCTGCGCCATCCTCACAATTGTTGCTATGTTTCAGCCCACTGTTGCAACCACTGCAAATCCACCTCGTTGAAGGTCTTCCTCTTTTTCGCTGACCCTCTACTTGACGTCCTTCTCCAGGGATTGGTCCCTCCTGATAACACGTCCAAAGTAAGTGAGATGAAGTCTCGCCAGGGAGATTAAGTGATGATTTTTGTACAAGTGGTTGCTTGAGCCCAGCTGTCCTGGCTCTGCTCCTGTGCTCACTATGTGACCTTGGACAGGTCACTTCTTCTTACGCAGTTCCCTGGGGTGGCTGGACACTGGCAAAACCTGGACTGGGCCTAGATCTGATGCTGCTGTAACGGCCTCCCATCTCTATGACGACAGTTCCTAGTCCTGCCTCCAGTCCACGGTTGCCTCCCAAGGCCCACTCCGACAGGACACCTGGCTCACTCAGACATGAATCTCAGGAGCCTCTCAGGGAAGCAGAGGGGGCCACTCACCCTCGGGGGTGCCTGGGGGGGCAAGCTCAGCCCCTGACACCCACTGATGGCAGCCGAGGTGGTAGAAGAAGATGCCGTCTTCGTAGCACTTCTCCTCCTGGTAATGGGTGTGAACGTTGCCCCCTGGGAAAGGAGGAAACAAACGGGTACTGCTGGCAAGCCTGAGGGTGGGACGGGGGCACCTACGCAGGGAGCCTCAGCTCAGGGTCAGGCTCGGGCCTCCGGAAGGCGGGAAGGCAGGCGGGATCCGGGGGCTCCTCACCATAGACCACCATGTAGTTGCCCAATACACTCGCTGTGTGGAAGGCTCGCTCCCGTGGGCCCTGAAGCCCATCCCGGCCCTTCAGGGTTGTCCACACACGCTGATCCACGTGGAAGAGCTCAGTGGAGTTCACCCGCACAGAGAACCTGCGGGAGGGGGCAGGGCAGAGGCTCAGGCAGGAAGGGCCTCTCTCCCTCCTCTGGGCTCTCAGGAATTGTGGGATCACCCAGGGCCGAGTCTAGGCCTATGGCCCCCTCTGAACTCGAAGCTCTCCAGGCGCAGGACTGGGTCTGACTCATCTCTGGGTTAACTTCATAATCTAGCAAGGGCTGGACACCGAGCAGTCGGGTTTGAATAGATGGATGGGTAGGCGTGTGTGGGGAGATAAATGACCAACAGATGGAATAAAACATCGGAGAATGAAACAGAAATAATGCCAATGCTCACAGACTGTGAAGAACGTAACCAATGTCACCGAACAATTTGTGTAGAAACTGTTGAAGGGGAACCTAAGCTGCTGTGTAAACCTTTACTGAGACAAACATTTAAACAAAAAGACTAGAGAATGAGTAAATGGGTAAATGAATAAATGAATGAAGCAGTGAGTAAATGAATGGATAAATGAATGGATGAATAAATGGAATGAATGACGGAGTGAGTGACCACAGGAGTCTGTTAGCAGATGAAGACCACAGGGAGGCTGCCAGGCCCAGCATGTTGGGCCAAGACCGGCCCTGTGGGGTGGGCATTGTGGGGCACATCACTCACCGGGCAGTGGAAGGCCGGTGTCCCCCGTGGACCAGCAGGGCACGGGAGGGGGCATGGAAAACCATCGAGTGGCCGGTGGCAGCAGGGGGCCGCCCGCCCTTCGGGATCACCTGCTCCCAGTGACCCCCACCGGCACTGTTGAGGTGGAAACGGAAGAGGCCGGAGGAGAAGAGGTCGTGCTGGGTGCGGCCACCAGACACATAGAGCCAGGTGTTGTCCACCAGGGCGGCCGCGTGGCCTGCCAGGCCTGGGGGCCCTGAGGAGCTGGAGGCAGGTGGTGCCAAGAGCTCCCAGCGGCCCCCACCCAGTGGGTTAAAGGCCCACACGTCACTGGTGAGGGAGCCATCGGCCAGCTCACCGCCCATCAGCACCAGGGAGCCAGCCCATGCCACAGCCACGTGGGAGTGACGAGCGGCCTGTGAGGAAGAGACAAGGAGACAGGGATGGAGAGGGAGGTAGATGGTGACACAGACAAAGAGAGTGACAGACAGCGCCAGAGCCAGAGAGATGCAAAGACACAGAAAGAAGGAGAGGACACATGTAGACACACAGAAATCGAGACAGGGACAGAGCTGTACAAACAGGAAGAGAGACAGAAAAACAGGGATATGCAAATAAAGATAAAGAAAGTGAGATGAAAAAAGAGAGTGAGAAGGAGCAGCAGGAAGACAGAGATAGGAGGAATGACAGAAAAGCAGAGAGGAAAGGTGGAGACTGGCAGAAGCAGGTGTTCTGGCACCAAGCTGCGCATGGGGTGCTAGGGGGCCGCTCTCTGGGGCCCTGGCTGGGCCTGGCAGTCAGAGTGGACAGCAGGGCAGGGGTGGGGTCCATACCGGGGCAGGACTGAGGTCCCAGCGCTCCCAGGTATTGGCCGAGAAGTTGTATAGGACGAGGTCGCCCAGGGCGTTGTTGAGGTCCTGGCCTGTGGAGGGTCGACGGTCTCAAGCCCTGGCCACACTGCCAGGCCTCTGTAGCCCAAATGCATCCCATCTGCTCACCTCCAAAAACAGCCAGCAGCCCCGGAGGGGACAGGAAGGCGCCAGCTGCCCCAATACGGGCAGAGAAGGCGGGGTCCCCAGCACTCACGTTGTGCCACCAGCCAGCCCCCTGGTTTTCCCACAGGTGCAGGTCACAGGCGCGTCCCAGGAAGCCGGGCTCACAGCGACATGGTCCCAGAGGCTGGGGGGAAGGGGACACAAAGACAGGGAGAGAGAGGGAGAGAGACGGGGGGAGGCAAGAGACAGACAAAAACAGAGCCAGATTAAGACAGACAGCGGCAGAAAGAGGGAGAAGAGAGACAGACAGGAAGGGAGAAAATGGAGAAAAGAGAGGCAAAGGGGGAAAGACAGACAGGAAGAAGGAGACAGGCAGACAAATAGAGAAATGAAAAGAGACCCAAGCGAAGGGAGGCAAAGAGGTGGAGATAAGAAGACAGACCCAGAGACCAACAGAAAAGGGGAGAGAAAAAGAAAAAGCCGCACGAAGAAGAACACGGATAGATGGACAGAAGACAGGTTGGAGAGGAAAGACGGTCAGTGGTCCATGTCCAGCCCCGGCTGAGAGAGCTCAGACCTGGGGCAGGCAGGGCTCAAGCGATCCAGGCCCACAGCTGGATGTGGACAGCTTCGATACAAGGTCAGGTGTCAAAGTTTGGAAGTCATGACCGGGGGCCCAAGGCCAGATGGAGGGGCTGAGGTGGAGGATGGAGTTGTGTGTGGCAAGAGGAAGGAGGGCAGGGTTCACAGGTGAGAGGTGGGGTTACACATGAGGACGGAGGGAGTTCAGGCAGGGGGAGGGTCACAGGTGAAGGTGGGGTGAGGTTGGAGTAACGGGGTGGGGTGGGTAGGATCTGGAAGGAAAGGGTAGCATTGTCGGTGAGGGCAGGGTCTCTGGTGGGGTTGGTGTTATGGGGGCGAGTAGGGTGGTGGGGACAGTTCAGGCAGCGGGCAGGGTCCTGGTCCTGACAGGGGTGTGGATACAGAGAGGGTAAGGCCTGAGTGGGGGCCAGATCTAGGAGATGGGAGCAGGGGAACACAGCTGGGGACAGGCTCACCGAGGCACAGGTGCCGTGGCTGCCACAGTAGGCAGAGCACTCCTGCAGGCCGCAGTCCAGGCCGCCCCAGCCCGGCTCACAGACACACACGCCCGGGGGCCGACACTGCCCGCGGCTCCGGCAGTCCCCCAGGCACAGGGAGAAGCGGAAGGAGGCGTTGAAGCCCAGCAGGTTGTAGTTGGCATCGCTGAAGAGGTGCAGCAGCATCTGCAGGCACAAGGGGGGCAGGGCTCTGGGGGCTGGGCTGGGCAGGTGCTCTCCCCACAACCCCCCACCTGGATCCTCCAGCCGCACCTCCCACGGCCCCCATCCCTACCAACCTTGCCCGAGGAAGCCTCGATGGGTGGAGGCCGGGTGCTCCCGCTCAGACTGGCAAGCAGGGGCCCGCGGGGGGAGTCACCGTCATACACGAACAGGTAGTCGTATGTGCACTCTGTGTCCAGGAAAAGGAAGTCCAGCAGGATCCGGTGCCGGGGGCTTGGGGCTGGGCAGTCAGAACAGGGGGGCTGGCTCAGACAGGGACCCTCTCCCCAGGCCTCCATGCAGCACTCACAGACACCCAGTGCTGCTCTGGGTGATGCTGAGGGCCTGAAGGTGAGTCAGACCCAGGCTCATAGACCAGGGAGGTCAGAGCTGCGAAGGCAAGAGGGGCAGAAGCCCAGAGAGCGAGTTACAGACCAGTCCTGGACAGGACCCCTGACGGCACGTGAACACCGCCTGCTGCTCAGTGGGAAAGCTAAGGGCAGAGAGAGGAGACTCCACCCCACGGTCCCCCACGGGGCGGGAACCACGGGGTTCCCGATGCCGTTTCCTTCCATTTATGCCCAAGCCTCAGATGTGCCCAGGCCTGGGGGTCAGGGGCCAGGCCCTAGCAGAGAGCATACTCCACAAATAGAAAGGGGCTTGTGAGGGCCCCCTCTTGCAGGCCAAACAGAGCTCTGGGGGAAGAGTCCCATTTGTCCCCCTGGACAAAGGCCTAACCTTGGAGCTCATGGCTCCCCTCTGCCCAGAGTCTCATGGCTCTGTTTATTGCAGTGGTTAAGGACATGGATTTTGAAGCCAGACTGCCTGGGCTCAAATCTTGGCCCTGCCACTTACTTGCTACTAGCTGTGTGACCTTGGGCAAATCACCTAACCTCTCTGGATCTGTTCCTTCATCTGTAAAACGGGGATACAGTGCTATTGTGGTGGGTTAAAAATTTTTAGTCACACCTCTCATTGAGAGGTGGGATCTAATTCTTTGCCACTTGTATCTGGGATGGCCTTAGTGACTTGCTTGGTCAATAAAAAGCAGTGGACGTGACGTTCTGGGACTTCCAAGGCTAGGTCATAAGAAGCCTTGCAGCTGTCCCCTGTGTCTCATGGGAAGCTCCTTCTCAGAACACACCTGTCATGCTGTGAAAAGCCAAAGCCACATGGAGAGGCCACGTGTAGACACTCCTGCTGACAGCGCAGCTGAGCTTCCAGCTGACAGACGGCATCAAATGCCCGTCCTGGGAGTGAGCTTTCCTGGACGTCCGGCCCAGGTGAGCCCTCACAGGACTGCCGCCCCAGCTGACATCTGACTGTGTGGAGGTGTGCGAGGTGATAATACACATAAAGAGCTTACAACCCTACCTGGCACATCGGAAGTGCCACTACGCCTCGCCCTATCCCTATTCTTGCTCTCTGCCGGATCCTGGTTCCAGAACGTTCTCTCATCCCACATCCCACACTGGGGGCTTACTGGGACCACTGCAGGCAGCTCAGGAGAGCCCTCTGGGCTAGGGAAACTAGGACCCTTGGGTTCTAGCTCTGCCCCGGACCTGCTGGAGGACCCTGGGCCAGCCCCTCCCCCCACGGCCCTCAGCGCACTCATCTGGATACTGGAGGTGCTTACCCACCACTCTCTAGGGGTGTGACCTTGGACCAGCTCCATGGGCTCTGTGAGCCTCGGTTTCCTTGACTGTATAGTGGGGCTAATTCTCCACACCCACCAAGGCTGGTGTGAAGATTCGATGAGATGATGCCTCTAACCAGCCAGTCTGGAGCCAGGGTACTACACAAATGTTCCTGCCCAGCCCAGGCCTTGTCCTCTAGGACCACTGATCCAGCCTCCCAGCCTCCAGTCTTGCCTTAACATGGCTCCCTGAGGTCTCTTCCCGACTCAACACCTGTCCCTCCCCTGCTCAAAACCTCCCATGGCTCCCCTACACCTCCAGGAGAAAGTCCAGCTCCCTAACTTAGCATCTGAAGCCTGCCCTTGTCTCACATCACTGAACTGCTTGCGGCTCTGCAGGAAGCTGGGCCTTTGTGCAAGCTTCTCCCTCTGTCTGAAGTACATTCTCTCTTCCCACCAGCAGGCTTCCCCATCTCTTCCAGGAAGCCTTCCCTAATGCCCCTTGGCGGGGTTAGGGGCCCCTCTTCGGGGTTCCCACACCCCATCACAACCCTCATTCCTCTGGGCCAGGACCATCTGTGTCCAGGCCTGACTTCCTCTGTAGCCTGGGAGGCACTCAGGGCAGGGTCTGGGCCTAATTCACTTTGGGGTCCCTCCCCGGCATTGCCCAGCACGAGGCCTGGCCCTGAGCAAGGGCTCAGGAACTGCTGGGTGGCCGAAGGAGGGAACGCACACAAGAAAGAACACCGAGGTCGGCAGCTCTCCCTCGGGCGCCTATGAACAGCACCCAGATCCCCAGCCACAGCCTGGGGAATGCAGAACCATCACTCAGCCCAACCAGGCAACCGGACCTCCGGGAACCTCACCAGCCTCCACCAGACTATAAAGCTCTGTTCCCAGAATCACAACAACTACATCTTTGTCAAGTGCCTGCTAGAGGCTGGCTCACCACCTGCCTTCCCCAAGTTCCTTCCCAAGTTCCAAGTCTCTTGTTTCTACCCAACCCCACCAAACCCCATCCCAGCCAGCCAGAGATCTGACCCTAAAACACTCCTTTTCGAAAGCACCCAGGATGCCTCTAATCCATGAGGCTGTCACCAGAAGTACGTACAATACAGTATGAAAGTACTGCAAAAGTGGGTTGGTTGTTTATTTTTTAATAGATGGGGCAATATGTTGGTTCTCAGAGGTGACAGGCGTGGGAAAGGACAGGAGATCCAGGGGGGTCTGCGGGTCTCCTGGACACCTCCCTCACCCCCACATCCCACCAGCTGGTCCCCAAGCCTCACTGATGACACGTCACAAACGTCTCTCTGTACTGTCCCTCCTCTCTTCCCCCTCAGCCCCTGCCCCAGCTCAGAACTCATTCTCAGACCATCACACACAGTCTCTGGTCCGCCCCAACCCAGGCTGACAGAGATGTCCCACTCCTGCTCAAAATCCTTCCATGGATCCCCAGTAAACCCAAGAGAAAGGCCAAGCTGCTCAGTGTGACACTCGAGGCCCTTCTTCCCCTGCTTCTGCTGCCTCCTCACCTCCCAGCCAGATCAGACAAACTTAGAGTTGGATCCTAAGACACAGCAGCCCCTCTCGTGTCTTCACAGAGACCATTCCCTTTTCCTACCAGTAAACTCCTATGCATACTTCAGAACCCTGCTCCAGTGACTGCTCCTATGTGATCTCCAGCAGAGTCTTTTGCCTCCCCTAGGCCCTTCTACCCAGCCCTTGTACCTCCCTCTGCCTCAGTCCTGAGCATACTGGGGGCTGGGACTGTGTGTCCAGTCCTCTCTCTCACCAGGCTGGGACTCCTCAAGGTCAGAGAATGATTTATCCACCCTCCCCCCATTTCCCATCCTCTTCTCATGCTCAGCCCGAAAGGAACTGGCCCATAACTCACACAGCAGCCACAGAGATCTTCTAAAACATAAATCAGATCATGTCTTTCCCCTGCTGAAAACACTTCCATGGCTCCCACTGCCCCTTGATAGAGACCAAGCTCTGCAGCCTACCAAGGCCTTGTCACACCTCCAGCCTCTGCCCGTGGCATCCTCTGTCTGGGACACCCCTACCTCTCCCTGGAGTCCAGCCCCTACATTCGCTGCTCCACAAGGCCTTCCTCAACTTCTCCAGCCACTGCCTCTGGACTTCTCTTCATGGCTCACTATTGCCCTCAAGATACGGCTCAAAATCACAAGATCCTACACCCTCCAGCTCCCCTCGTCCCCTCAAGCCTCTGGCTCATTTTGTGTCCTCTTGTATTCTGTGTTCTAGCGCACTGGATTTCTAGCTCCTCGAAAGCATCACACTCTTCCTTCCAGGCCTCTGCAGGGGCTATTCTTGCCTGGAAAGCCCTTGCTGCGCCCTCCTACACATGCTTCCGGTTTTGGCTCAGATAGACCCCAGGCTAGGGCAGAGCCTCCTCCAGGTTTCTCCATCTCCCCGCAGTGGGTTTATCTCTCCCACTGGACTGGGAGCCCATGAGGGCAGGGCTAAGGCTGTCGAAGTCAGCAGCACGTCCCCAGCACTGCCCCGCACAGGCCTCGGCACAAAGCGTCCATCAGTGAACAGTTAGTGGATAAAAACATAAATAAAAATGAGAAAGAGATGCTAAGGGATACGTTACATCCTGGGGAGACAGCCGTGAACAAGACAGACACAGTCCCTCCTCCTGGCCAGATCAAATGTGCCAGGTTCCCTCTGCACTCAGGGCCTCTGCACAGGCTGTTCTTTCTTCCCAGAATACTCTTCCTCCTCCTCTTTCTCCTGGATAAACCAAAATAAACCAAACCTATTGCCGTCAAGCCGATTCTGACTCATAGCAATCCTACAGGACACAGCAGAACTACCCCAAAGGGTTTCCAAGGCTGTAATCTTTACAGAAACAGACTGCCATATCTTTGTCCCACAGAGCAGCTGCTGGGTTCAAACTACTGACCATTCAGTTAGCAGCCAAAAGCTTCACCACTGTGCCACCAGGACTCTTGGATAAAATCCAAACCAAATCGTTGCCATTGAGTCAATTCTGACTCTTACCGACCCTACAGGACAGAGTAGAACTGTCCCATAGGGTTTCCAAGGAGCAGCTGGTGGATTCGAACTGGCAACCTTTTGGTTAAAGCAGCTGAGCTCTTAACCACTGCGCCACCAGGGTTCCAGGCTCTTGAATAGTTCCTATTAATCATTTAGGTCTCGGCTCAGACGTCTCCTCCTCCAGGAAGCTTCTACTCCCCACCCTCCTCCAGGTCAGGCGCCTCCTCTGGGTTCCCACAGACCCCTGGGCTTTCTCTATTACTGTCCTGGTCTGTCACTGTCTGTTGATGTATTTGTC